AACACAAGCAGGGTCTACTCTCTTGGTAGAAAAGCTCCGTTAGGCACGCACCCTAAACCCTAAACCCCTAAACCCTAAACCCTAAACCCTAAACCCTAAACCCTAAACCCTAAACCCTAAACCCTGGAAGCTGCGCTCAGGGTTCTAACCATTTGGTCAAGCGGACTGGACAAGCAATCTCAAGGTGCAGCATGCTCGGCAATCGATGTCCTCCCTGGCAATCAGAGCCATCAACCTGTGGTTGTCAAACTCCATTCGAGCTCGCGCCGAACCCATGGATAAAACGCAATCAGGCACGCATAGTGCCCTGTTGATTGCGTTCATGTTCGGCATTCGGGCATTGCCAGGCCAACTACACTCCAGCAGAGTTTGGATGTCAGCCGTGCTTTTCATTCTCCGGAGTAGCAGCAAGGGGACAGAAAGAAAGGCCAATGTATTCCAGGCGAGTCGAGTTGCTTCCATGTTGTCATGTTTGTATGGTCAAGTGCCTACGTCTCGTCTGTTGACAGCCTCGCTTGAAACTTCGGTCTCCCGCATCGCAAGCCACAGCAAGCACGGCCCTCGCTCGAAATTGCTTGCAAGGCTTTCCTAGAAGTTTCTGGAATCCTCAGCACAGCACTTCAAGTCAACCTTTTGCAGCTTCGCTGGCTCTTGGGAAAGCAGCGGTCAACCTACTTCACCCAAGACAGCATACCTGAAGACAGCCCGAAGTGCGATGTGAAAACTCGCACACGAACAAGACGAATGAAGAGAGCAATGCACCTCCGACAAGCCCACCCGCGTGAACATCAAGACGTCAGCCATCTCCTTCCTGATGCTCATGATTCGAAGCATGCTCCACTTCGTGAATAGTTCTTTTTCCGGTGCAGGCCTACAGAGGGCTGTCCACAAGCCTTCAGGCCAGGGTGAGACCGGGGTGAAGAGAAGCGTCACGGGTATTCCGTGACTGCATCACATGCAACACGTCAAGCAAGCAGACCAGAGCATACGCCTGCAACTCGCCGTGGCATAAGCATCCCCCTAGTTGGGGGACAGCAAGTCTGCTGGAGGCTGAACACGGGCGCCCCAAGTCTTCACCAAGTCGTTGTTCATCTGCTGCAGCCTAACATCACGAGATCGAAAATTACCTACATAGTTCAGAACACTCTCTGCATGACACACAAAGAGAAGCCATAGCCACAGTGCCATAGTTGCTGGGAGCACAACTTTGCCCATGCAGCTGCTGCAGCGAAACCAAAATCAACTCACGGATTCACAATTCAGGACAAGCAGCATCAACAGCTCTTCCACAGACGAGCCCCACAGCCGTCGACTCTGTACCACGAGCTTGTGGTCCATGGTAAAGGTACTGATGCGAAGCTGGCAGAGTTCAGTGCCCCTGCCCATTGTGACGGTGAATGCAGCGGAGTTCTCGAAGTTCTTTGCATCAATGACGTTCGACACCTTTTCCACTCTGTACCCGGCTGCACTGAATGCATCGGAAATACTTGATGTGAATGCTGCAATTTCCTCTTTTTCTGCACCACCGTCCCGAGGAGAAAAAGCGAAGTGCCGTGAGTTCATCCGTCCAACATCATGCACGATCGGTCTGCCTCCGAATTCCCAGGCTTTTGCCATAACCTTGAACTGATCCAGAGACATGTCGTGAGCTTCACGGGACATGTAGCGGCGCATGAGTTCCGCCACTCCTTCGGGAGTGATCGTTGAATTTTCGTCTTGTAAACTCCTCGTGAGCTCAGCAGCTGAAAGGCGTCCACTATTGCTAGCATTTGCCGAACGGAATGCATCCTCTGCATTGCTGAAGTTCCGAACGTACAAGGCCAGTGCCTCCACCACACCAGTGCACTTCAGCGACAGGTTTGGGCGCCGCTCGCGAAGCTCTCGCACAAAGTCCAGCGGCCCTGATAAGTCTCCAGACAACCAGGCCAAAGCAGGAAAGTGTTTGAGAACGTCTTCGTCACCTGCCATGGCAGCCTGAAGCTGCTGAAATGTTGGACGTTTCTCTGGGCTTCGTGCCCATAAACAGTTGATAAGAGCTTTGAGCTCAGAAGCCTCGGCAAACTGCTGAAATTCCTTGCGGTCCCACCATTTTGAACTGGCCCCCTCGTCTGTGAGGACTTTCAAGCCTCCGAAATATGGGTGGAAAGGCGGGATGGGCTGCTTCAAGAGGAAAACCAATATCCCGACAGTGAATACATCAGCTTTCTCACTATCGTACATTTTCTGTCCATATTCAGGTGCATGATACAGGTCTGTCCCAACGGCCGCGGTTTGTTCTCTCATGAACTTGGAGCTTTGCGTTTTGAGAACTGGTGATGTTGACCTCTCTTCATTGTGCTCTTGGGTTTCTTCTTGAAGCCAGTGGATGAGGTTTGCACAGCCCAGGTCGATAATGACAACGTGACCGTTCTCGTCGATAAGGAGGTTGTCCGGCCTCAGTCGCGCAGTACAAGTGAAAACTCCGTGCTGGCTCTTGGCATCCCAAACGGCAGGAAGGATATGCACATAAACCGTTGCAGCAAAAGCGCTTGAGGTCTCTGTGGGTGATGCCACATTTGCACAACTCCGACATCCCATTGATGATGTCGTGCACTAAGCGCCGCATTGTCCCGTCACTCAATGCCGCAGCCTCAGCAGCGATCAAGTCAAACAACTCACCGTTGGGAATAGCCTCCATGACGACGATGTGTCTGGCGGGGTCCCATGACGAAGACCCGCGACCGATGTGTGTGGCGATGCCGACATAGCTGATCACATTCGGATGTTGAAAGACCTGAAATGGCGCTTGTCGAAGAAAGCTGAGCTCGCGGTCGTTATCCCGCGAGAGGAACTTCAGAACATAGCGATGCCCCGTAGGTTCGTGGGTTGCCAAATAAGACTGTCCGAAAGCCCCGGCTCCCAGGAAGTTGTCTAGTGTCCACCGCTCTCCAAAGATCGTGAAAGCCGTAGGTCCAAACCAAGGCTCATGCCCACCCTTTCCGTCGAACTTCTTCTCCGACCGGGAAACGATGGCAATGTCTGCCGCTTTTACGATAGGAATATGAGCAGATCCTTCTTGCCCTAATTTCTGTCTCCAAAATCCAGTCAAGATGGCAGCCGGGCTTGTGACGGGCAAAGCCTTGGCAAATCAATACTGCCACACGTGCACAACGGGATCTTCTGATTGTCTTTAGCTGAGATGCTTTGATTGAGCTTCCAGGTTTTCCCAGTGCCTGCACGAAAGAAACACCAAAAGCAAGCACTGCTCATGACCTATCGATCCAGCCGCCAAGCTCTGGCTAGACTTGGGCGAGTGGCTGTTACGAGCTTGCTGCGCGACTCTTTGCTGAGATGCTCCATTGCAGTCTGGAGGTCATCGAGGGAGCAGGATTTTACCTTCGGTAAGTCTCATACTCATCTGGGGCCCAAGCCAAAAGCCCCGGCCAGCTCAAAATGCAAGCAGCTGTTGCTAAACAATGACGCGGGCTCACAGGTGGCTGCGCCGACTCTACGAGCGTGACGAGCTTTGCGTGTGCTGGCTGCTGTTGTGCTTTCAACGGGGGTCCTAAACTCCCGTGATGTGTCAGGAACCTACTGCATGCTGAGGCACTGCTCCTGCAACCGCAACGGAACACGCGGACCCCATGGCTGCAAATTCTGCCTGGCACACTTGAGCCGAGGCAGCCTTGAATTCGCCACTCCACCCACATGCCCACGATTTTGCCAAGCAACAGAAACTTTAATTGCAGGAAGGGATCAGCAGCTCCAGGGTCGAAAGGGCCTTTCTGCTTGACAAACTGATATCCTGGGCCAAGTTGCAGCTGCAGCAGAGAGAGCTTCCCCCGGATTTTTGCGAATCTGTGGGCGCCACCCATGACCAGAATCATCGCTGCTGCCTCAGCTTTACAATAGCGACACTTAACACGGCCGGTGGACTTTTTTGAATTTTGGTTCACTCAAGGCAAGCAGGTTGCAAAGACTGGGAGCTTGAAGTTCCCCAACAAGTCGCCCGGAGGTGGCTGGTAGACTTGCCTCATGTCACAAAACGGGGAAAACTTCTTCATAGTCTAGGGCACCATTGGGGCATCCGGCCTGGTTTGATCCTGCGTAAGACTCAGACAGGTCGCATCATATTAACGTTCCCTCTCATATGGTCTGTGCTTTTGCCTCTGTGCCTCAGACTCCCAAATACAACACTCAACAAATCTCCTTCCCGTTTAAAGGATTGAAACTTACAGCTGAAGCTAACTTTATTCTTCAAACTCAAGAACAGGAGACTGCACAGGCCCGTGCATCATCAGCTCGAAGATCTCGATTTCCGTTCCATCCTCGGGATCTGTTCACTGGGAACGTGGAAGGTTCTAGCCTCCATGAGGAAAACGTCCTGCGAAAGCATTGCAAGGAGATCTCCTGTCGCCAAAGTTGTGCTCAGCTGCTCTGAGCTTAGTTTCTGTTGCACACGACATAGAGCAAACAAAAGCAAAATCATGCAACAGCCTTCTTGGTATCGGCGCTGAACTGCCTGGCAAGCGGTCATGTGATCTACTCAACGAAATACACCATCTATGTCTAAGACTCCATGACTCTTGGATCTTCTCCTCAGGCAGATGCGGGCCCCCAAACATGTGTGCAGGCATGTGCAAACAATCCACAGTCTAGTGAAACAAGAACTGAAGCACCGAACGACCCGTTCTTATCCGGAAGCAACTGATTGGGGAAACCGCCCATCTCAGGAGCCACATTCGGGAATCGGAAACGTCAATTCCGACAAAGGGTAGGGCGATTCGTATGCGGGGCCGCGACAATTCAGGATGTCGCAAGAATTGGATACTGTAAAACATGGGGGTGAGGGCCTGGACTCTGTGTGTGTGTGTTTCTGCGAGTTTTGAGTTCAACTCGCACCTCGAACTTCCACGACAGATAACGGATGCTTTGCTGAACTGGATGAACTACCAAATAAACCACGTCTCCGCAACTAGGCTCATGCAGGTTTTGGTCCCGAACGAAGTCCCACCCCCAAATAAACCCCCTCAAACCTCAGCCGTAAACCCGTCAACCCTGAACCCTGACCCCAAATCACATGCTAATAGCCCGGAGCTGGTACCAGGTCGAAAATCGGTAGCGTTCACGGCATAAGGCCCAATGCCGAGTTCATCGTATAGGGGGATTCCCATGATCTTACGGTTAAATCAGGGTTTGGTTTCGACTCACACACTCGCACAAAGCAGGCATGGTTTAGTAGCGGGTCCCCAGCCCAATTCCTGCCGATCGAAAAGCAGGGAGGGTTTAGGTTTTCAGGGTTTGAGCCTGGGGGCTTGGACTGTCGCGACCCGAACGAATGCAAGCGAGGCTTGTCCGGTTCGAAGCTAGGCTCTAAGAAGGGCTTTCCTTTGCTGTTTAGGGTTAAGCTACGGGTCTTTTTTCCCTCTCGCATGGCTAAGGATCAATGCCCACAAGCGAGGTTGTTGTGAGGAAACGCGTAAAGAGTGACTGTGCAAAGCAAGGTTATTCCAGTACTGATCAGACCTAGCCCTACTTAGACCTGCGAGATCAGCAACTGATGAACACCCTTGCTTGTCTAGATCATGTCACGCTCAATGCTCCCTAATTGCACACACTACAACCATAAGGTGAGCACGCAACGTGACACAACCGGAGGACTACAAAGAGTCACAAGACCAGCAGACTGTACGAGCAGCAAGGAAATCAGCCGTCGCAC